AATAGTTATATATCATATCTCATAACATTAAAAATATCCTTGTTATGTTATTATCAAGTTATTTTGAAATAATAATGACTGACAATAATAACATCATAAAATACAATTAATTTAATATTAAATATTATAATTAAATTAAACATGTGTTTTTGTTATTCTTATACAACCAGTTTAAAACATCTTAGTTCATATTTATGTATGTAATAACATAGATAGGCATGCTATTACGTAGTCATTTTGGCTTTAATGGTATTTGGGGTATGATAACTAATCGGTTAATATATTTTAAAACAAAGTTCACACACTGCACCTTTACTGATTCAACCAAAACATATTAAAGTCTTGATACCACACCTACCTGTTCCACTACTATAGTCTACTACTATACTATAGACTACTTTGGAAATAATTACAACAATAAATGCAGTGGCATTTTACTTTGTGTTTTAGCCTTATAGAACCAGTTTAAAACATCTTTCTTTCTATATTACCATGTAAAGGTAATATTATAAATGGTCATATTATCCGTTATTCATCTTGTCTTTAATCATATTTATTTAATTAATTTAATGGTGTTTGTGATGTATATTCACTAATCAATTAATACCTGTAAAAAATAGTCCCCACACTACGTTTGTTTGTCTGTGCACTATGTGAAGGAAGTGTTAAAAGGATTTCCCGTCAATAAAAAAATACCTACAACTTTGTTTAATACTATTAATTAATAAGCTATTCTATTCTATATACACTATTCTAACTCATAATATCTGTGAAAACTATTAGAAAATCGCTTTTAGTTTGTTTTAAGGTTATTGTGATATTCATATTTCAATTATTAATTTCTCAGAATTCCCATTAGATGCGATAAAACTAATATTAATTTTGTAATCTATAGATTATAAGGAATAAATCGATATACTTTTCATTAAAATTCTCTGAAATGTGTGGTGGGCCCATTCTCTATACAAAAAGAAATTGTCTCCTTTATTTGTGACCCATGATCAAAGGTGTCCTTAGTACTATCATCTGTTTTCGTTTTCGGGAGCATTTCACAAACACCCGGTATAGAGAATCGGACACAGGCTGTGGTTTAGCGTGGTTAAATGTCTGGTTGGTGCTCAATGCCATCTAGTGTTCCTCAGGGTTCATTACTTGGCCCCCTCTTATTGGCAACATTTGTTGCCGATGTCATATTTTAAAAATTCTCTCATACTAATTATGACGGCGATGACATGAAAATTCTTAAAACTATTCATAATCTAACAGATGTTAAACAACTTCAAGAAGACCTAAACAGGTCAACAAAACATCCGCTACTACTATGATTCCAGTTGCAAGCTCCTTGGTCTCATGGCAAGTTAAACTATGCGGTTTATTTTATTGTTAATGTTTCTGCAAATATTTTTTTGTTATTGTTTTTGTGAGTAGTTTATGTAATTCCTGGAGTATTTTAAATTTGTACAAAGTTGGATGAAAGTAATATATGGAGGCTAGTAATTAGCAATTCTTATCACCATTTTGTAACTTTAAGAAGATATTAGTCTGTAAGCCGTCCTAAAATGAATAAATAAATTATATATTAACATTTTCAGTTTATTATATAGTTCCTATGTAAATATTATATATTTACGTAGAAACTTTAATTATCTTATTATATTAAATTATAAATATTACTCTCTACACAAGAAAGTAAACTTTGAGATCAGTCTATCTTGTTTTTCGCTAATTAAGTGAATAGTTAAACAAACCAAGAGGTCCGGGATTTAAAATTTCCAGCTTTTTATAGAAAAACATGACCTATCATAAAATGTTAGTTAATATTTAGCGATCTGATCTGAAAACTTAAGTGTGCCAGTCATACATTAATGATGATATTTGGGTCATTATACTGGAAATAGTATATTAAATATTTTGTAATAAGTACAATTAATCATGTTCCGCATGATTGACCGTGTGTATGAATTTTATAAGTCTATGCTATTAGAGTAATTTATATTTATCTGATTTTCATTGTGTATTTAGATTGCATGACAATGGCAAAATATTTACTTATTGTAAATGAGGATTCATCCTTAATCAATCTATCTGATTGATTAAGGGTGAATCCTCATTTACAAATATAGGAACTTTATCTGTACTACCGAGTATATGCAAGTAAAGATTTAAATAAAATAAATAAATAAATAATGTTAAGTCCTGCCCAAAATATACAAATGAATAATTTGGGTAATAATTGTAAAACTGACTCTGGGAATGCCTACCAATGAGACATTTAGTCCACCCTTAATCCCTTTTATAAATATGTTATAAACAATAATGTGTAAATAAATTAAGAAATAAATGTAATAATTATGATAATTTCCATTTAATTGACACAAATAATGTAATAAAGATGTTTTTGACAAGGATACCTATCTAAGTATAGTTTAAAAGTTGTACCTAATTATTTATACCACTAAAATATATTATATACAAGGCATATAATAAATATACTCTCTTCTAATCTGATTCTAACAACCAGCACCCAAGAATTACTGCCATGCAAAAGTATAAATCAAGTTTATAAATGCATATTTTTAAGAAATTCTAAAGGGCCCCCGAGACGGTCAAACCAATTTGATCGTTTACGCCGTTGGTTTGACAGGTTTGATCAAACGTTACGTGTTTGAAGCTCGTTTGATGGAAATTTATATTTTGGTTTTGTTTGAAGCACCGTTTGATCGTCTTCGCGATGTGTTTGATCAAACCTCATCAGTCTTGTGCTGAATTTCGAAGCGATACGTTCTGTGTGGTTTCCAAAATGCTAAATACTTCAATGTTATAGACAATCTTTGATTTACCGGAATAGCTTGCCTCATGTTAGTAGGTATCCTGTTTTTGAATTAATGGTCGAATTTTATTCAATTAATTTTTATAAAAATTATTGTCCAATGTCCATTCTCAAAAAGTTCTTTTAATCTAATAATAATAATAAATCTGGTGCGCTAGTTTCTAGCACACTTTGTAGATGTTCGTGTATGAAACGATATCTTAATTTGTACCATTCTTTGCATCAAATTTTTTTTTCTTATTATTTAAGCAAGACATTAATACAATAAACGCTACAAAATCTTTATCCATAGTCGACGGCATTTTTTGAAACCGCAATAGGACTTTCTTGTTTGAACTTTGAAGCTACACTGCGCGCTTCTGTTTGATGCGAATTCAAAGCGACATCAAACGGTTTGATCAAACACGTGAGGTTTGAATCAAACCGTTTAACCATCTCGGGGGCCCTTAAAGCTATTCAAACCATGAATTACAAGGAATGCTCTCAAAAGAAGACAAAAATTTTGTTAATTTTGTTGTTTATTAATGTGATGAAAAATTAATAAAATTTATTTTCATTTTATTGAAATATTTAATATATAATAATTGTGTTTTCATTTGTTTTACTTAATTTAACATTGTTAATATTTCTAAATGTTGTGTAATTACACAAAATTTAGTTCTTTTTCCTTTTTAAATGTCAATATATTTTCATTTAAATAGAATATTATATATCTTTACAGTCTATCAAAAGTCCACTACTGAACATAAACATGAACATAATTATTTGCCATATTTGCAACGCTTGGCAAGCGGGTTGGCAACCACTGTTTTTTTTTATTTAGCCGTTATCAGGAAAATGCTGCTGTACCTTCTTTGTTGTTTCCCTAAGTCGCCTCATACACCACCCGTGGAATGATATGATATGAGGTAGCAGATAATTATACACTGTATGGTAAATTAAAATAGAATATTATAAAACATTCGTTTTTATTTTATATACCAACATATTACAAAAACAAATCATTTGTTGCTGCTTTACAACTTATATTAACTAAAACATTTTACCACCTTAACCATTAGGTAACATGATTAATTCACCTAACCATAGTCACCTAAATAAGGCCTTCCCTAGATATTCTCATAGGATGACTTTTGCCATAGTTGCCACGCCTGTGTGAAAATATGCGTTATACTGGTTGGCCACCGCAGCTTTTTATTTTAAGTTTTCATCAGGAAAGTGCTGCTGCTCTATCCCCATCTTTTATTATTGACGACGCGGGGTAGTATCATCCCGTGTATAGACAAATTCTCTTGTACACCACAAGTTGCCGCACACAAGCCACTAACTTAGTAAGACATGCAGGAAATCGCGGGAGTTGGCTTAGAACCGTGTTTTGTACTACAAAACCTAAATGTAAACCTTTTCCTTTCGGAGATCTGTGTTCAGCACTGAACTTGTGATGGACTGGTATGTTAAAACATTTTTTTTTTGTAAAAGCAACATAACACTCGACACGAGGAAATTTTTGATTATTTAGTGATATTTTTATTCTTAATTAATATTTAAGTAGACTTAACATATTGCTAATTATTAGCGATATCATACTTACTAGTAGCGTCTTCACTTAGTGCCAACGAAATCCAAAGAGTTTATTGAATGTCCAGTAAAATCGTCGATGCGCCGTTGAATACGGAATGATGATTCTGTTTTTACGCCGCTTCCGCCCGTAGTTTTTAGTCAGAGAATGTATTTTCAAGAGAAATGAATTAATCATCTGAATTATAAAAGAACATTTTTTATGGTAACAAATAGGTTTTTTTGTATGAATTTAAGTGCTGTGAAAATAAATAAACCCATAACGGGGGAAATGGAATTCAATGTCTGGTAACCCAGGGAAAGCACCTCCCGCTCACAGACTAATATGACTCCCGCCTATTTCTATCTCAAAACATACGCGAATGCTTTATCTAGTCCCCGCCTAAGGGTATTAGTGTTCTGTGATCTAGTCAATCCTCTATCTACGACTTATAATAAGTATATTCTGAGTCTATGGTCATAGACTAGTATATATATATATATAGTAATCTGTTATCTGTGGTAATCTGTGTTCTGTGGTATTGATCCCGCCTAAGGGTATTAGTGTTCTGTGGTATTGATTGATTACGTAAGCATCATATTTGTCTGTGTTGATGACTATTGAGATTTTCTTTACATTGGATTGCATTTTAATAATTAAATAAATAATATGAGATTGTAGTGGGAGTATCTGGCATAGTGGAAAGTAATATATCGAGTATCTGGTATCCGATGTTGAATTTGTGTCGGGAGCATTGGTGTAAGTTTTTTTTTAAATTATAAAAAGTGTTCAAGTTTAGCAATTAAAAGCGACTTGTTTTATTAAGCATGTACTGTAATGACGATTTTAAATATTATATAGATGTGATACAACTTAGGGACTTTCGAGAAACAAGCTTACTCCTTTTTAATATGCCGGCAACATTCACCTGGTGTTGCAGTTGTTCATGGGCGGCGGTCACCACACTTACTATTAGGTGAGGCGCATGCTCCTTTGCCCCTTGTCATTAAAAAGTAATAATGGCAAATGCTATATCTAAAAGTAACATGAAAATTACTTATTTAGATTTTGGAACGAATTTCCCTATCGGACGATACGAATTTGGCGGATGGGGCCTAGGCGAGAAAAAGTGGAAGTTTTTTCCCTCACGACCCCTTCTGACGTAGTGTAGGTGACCTTGATGGCTATAAGGAAGCGAGATGGAATAATATCTATCTCCCTCGTACTGTTTCTTATCTTGTCATGAAAGAAATATAATTTTAAATGACGCTTCATTTTAATAGACATTACTAATTAATTTATTTGTATTTGTTAATCAATATTATAAAATGTTTATGAATAATAATAAAATGTGTGAGTGTCGTGGAACACTCGGTTGTAATGAAGTTCCTTATGTAGTATATTATTATTGATAAATGTAGGTATTATATTATTGATTAACAAATACAAATAAATGAATTACTAGCGTCTATTAAAATGAAGTGTCATTTGAAATAAAATAATATTTCTCTCATGGTAAGATACGAAAAACTGCGAGGGAGATGTATATTATTCCATCTCACTTCCTTATTTCGCCACCAAGGCCATCTACACCATGACACAAGGGGTAGTGACGAAAAACTCATACACTTTTTGTCGCCTAGCTCCCATCCGCCAAACATGTACCGTCCAATAAAGAACTTCGTTCCAATATACTACAAAAAGAACTTTGTTCCAACTGAGTGTTCCATGACACGCATGAATGTTTTTTTATACAGAAGCGTAAAATAAATTTTTACAGCCCACTGTATCGTAAGTGGGTAATGGAGCCCATGAACACCTGCAATCACCTTAGATTCAAGATGTTATTATACACAGCTGTCTCTCCTATTCAGTTGAGGAAATTATAGTTGTTTTAGGAATACTCTGCTGCCCATCCCCTGATTTGCTTCCCTCTGTCGCTTCTGTTAATGAATGATAATGAGTATTATAATATCCAAATTTAATATATTCCCAATTTCGTGACAACCCCTATGTAGGCAGCCTGACATCAAAAGTGTTTCACAACTGTAAGCTCTTTAAAATGGGACATAACGTTGACTTAGCTCTACGTAAGCTGCTACTGCTATGTGAATGATGTTAGTGATGTAGTTACACTGTCAGAATGTGATCTGTCTTATCGATTTTCAGTCAATATTAATGTATGGGAAAATATATGATAAAATGAGTGAAATGACAAAATTTATTTGAATTTGTCTTGATGCCGCTATATAGAGAGATCACTGGCTATATGAATTACTATTATCCCCGTAATTCATTTAGCTGGTGTATAATTAGTGCCAGTGCTCACGCACACATGCACATCACATCAAGCTTGTAGTGTACCTCTCATAGCGTGGTTGTATGAAGCTTTGCCTCTGTATGTTATGGTTTCTTTACTCATGTGCCAATATTGCACAAAATATCATATTATTTTCGACAATTTGACCCTGAGACCTACAGTGAATTAGGTTCTATTGTCCCTATTTCTGACATGATTACTATGCTTACTTTAAGCCTTTCTCTTCTTAAATATTGGGTGCTCTATACAAATTACGATTTGAGCAATTGCTTATCGAGTGCCTGTGACGCAGTTTCTAACTGAAATATCGCAACCGCACAAGGTAAAGAAGATTATTTTTTTATATAATTCTGAAGTGAAAAAAGAACTTACAGTCCATCTGATAATGGTTCCTGCAAATCATAGCCTGCAACCGACTTCGAACAAAGAACTGTCAAAGCTCCCAGGGCCACCAGACGTCACTTATTTTCTGACGAACAAAATGTGTAAGATTGAGTAATGTTAGTATGTACTATGATCACATGACTACCTTCTAGCTTGGCCACACGGTCATTTTCCAGGGATCAGGTAATCAAGGTACGTAAAAACATTACTCACCTCACGTTAATTTTTCAGCCAGCTGATTTTTACGTATGTGTTAGATTATATTGTTAAAAGTCAATAGAATAGAATAGAATGATTTTTATTCAATATGGATTATTACATAATACTTATTGAAAGTCATTATTTTATTTACCACTGGTTTGGAAAATACCTCTGTCCTGGGAAGAACCAGCAAGAAACCCAGCGGGACTTTTTTTTTAAACATAATTTCACTTAACAATAATTTTGTTTATACAATTTTAAATGAATTTTCATAGAACCAGCATGGTGGCGATCACCTTATTCCCAGGGGTTATTTTCATTCATGTATTCTTTGATATTATAATAACCCTTTTTGTACAGTTTTTCTTTAATAAAACTTTTAAACTTGTTTATTGACAAACTTTGAACATGTTCTGGGATTCTGTTGTAAAAGTGTATACATTGCCCCATAAATGAATTACTAATTCTGTGGAGTCTTGTAAGTGGCATTACAAGCTTATGTTTGTTCCTAGTGTTTAAGGTATGAACATCCTTATTCTTATTAAAGCTATTTATGTTTTTATGTACATACATTACATTTTCATAAATATATTGCGATGCCAAAGTTAATGTTTATTTCTTTAAATTTTTCTCTAAGGGACTCTTTACAATTTAGATTATAAATCGCCCGTACGGCTCTCTTTTGCAAAATAAATATAGCTTCAATATCAGTCGCATTACCCCATAGCAAAAATCCATAAGACATTACGCTATGAAAGTAACTAAAATACACTAACCTAGCTGTCTCAACATCTGAGAGACTTCTAATCTTTCTTACAGCATATGCTGCAGAACTAAGTCTGCTTGCTAATTTAGATATATGGGGGCCCCATTGAAGTTTCGCGTCAATAGTAATACCGAGAAAAGCAGTGGTATCCACAAGACTCAACTCCTCCCCATTTAAGAGCACTTTGGTTTTCGAATGTTTTACATTAGGTATTGTAAATTTAATACATTATGTCTTATTGCCGTTTAAGAGCAAATTGTTGGCGTTAAACCAATGTACTATTTTCGATAGAGCATTATTTACATCGTCATATTTAATTGACTGCCGTTTCAGTTTGAAAATTAAAGAGGTATCGTCCGCAAATAATACTATATCGTGATTGTCCCCTACAAGATAAGGTAAGTCATTAATATAGATTAAGAACAGGAATGGGCCAAGAATCGAGCCCTGAGGAACGCCCATTGATACTACCGATCCGGAGGAACATTTACCATTAATGACGACTTTTTGAGTTCTGTTACTTAAATATGAAGTAATAAGTTTAAGCGCCATATTTTTTACACCGTAATGTTGTAGTCAATCATGAATACCCCCAGACACTTTCCGTCTGCAGTATCGCTTTGCAGACGCTTTAAAGCTCTCAAAAAAGTACTCAATTTCACTTACATTCTGAAGCTCCATTTTTATGTATGTTAGCCAGACAACTATTTTAAAACGTAGAAGGCAGACTAATCCAAGGGGTCAGTGATCCCCTAGAGCCCTAGACCTAATTTTAATGCCTCTGTGAGTATGAGCGCGAGGGCATTATCCGAGTGCATGAGCGTAAGTGAGACATGTATTAGTATTATATTGACCTCTCTCTCTTTTTAAAGTACTGTTCATCTCGTTTTCGACTAACATACTCAAGTTGTGGGTATTATCCAAACACGGTACATATATTTTTGTGATGCACAGGTGGTTTTTCGTCTCGGTATATTTTGTAACTAGAAATGTCGCAACAAATCCGACATTTGGCCTTTTTATTAATCACGTCATATTTTTCAAAATAGTGTATGTCTATGTAATCTTACACATGTCGTTCGTCAGAAAATAAGTGACGTCTGGTGGCCCTGGGATCTTGTTGTAGTAGGCTATGCGTTGTCACTTCTGAGGACTAACATGGAATGCCTCACAGCCCGTAATATACTGGTTCTCTAAATCCTTTAGGCCAGAACACAGCAGTGTATGCTCTATTTGGTGGCAGAAATAGCTAAAAGGATGATTCCTTACCAGACGGCATGCCGACTCTAAGGCAGAAAATGAACAAAAAAACATGTTGTAAATAAAAATTATATGATTTTATTATCATATAATTTTTGGCAAATAAATACATTTTCTATCTTTCATATCATTGTTGTTGTAGTTCGTCACTGCCCTCTCCCAAAGGCCACAAGCCACCTTAAAGTATTATTTTTAATTACTATAATGTATCTCATTATTTTAAATTATATATTTTTTAGTGATTTTAAATGATTTTTGCAAGAAATAAGAACAGGCAACATGGAATCTGCTGGAGATTGGTGCTTGATTGAAAGTGATCCAGGAGTGTTTACACAGCTAATAAGAAAATTCGGTAATTTTATGTTTACCTAAAATATAAAAACTAAATGCATTATTTGCACATAAGTTAGTAGTGCTAATTTTTTTTTGTGACCACTTAAATTTTAATCATGAATGTTATACTCGTATTGATAAAATATGAATGATTACATAAATAAAGCTACGATGAAATTACTAGATGTGGAAAGAAGCCTTTTTTTTTGCCATTCCCTTCCTTAAACCTAAATGAGTGGTATCTTGAATTATCTAGTCTTTGTTACTCAAACAAAAGTTAATTTTCTGCTAGGTATTGATAGTATGTACATATATTATTTATACTCTTATACCTCGAATTTCAAAAAGCAGATGGTAAGTTGAAATTAGTAAATATAATGAGGACTTTCTTGAAATTTCCCTGAACTCACAGCAATAAAAGCCAAAAGGAATGTTTGTTGCTTCTGTTCTATTGTGTGTACACATGCAATGAATGAATACATTCATTAAACTTTATAAGTAACACATCTGGCATTTTATGTTTGAGCTTATTGCTTAAAAAGTAGTTTATCATCGCTCAGTGCTCATTTGGCTGTAAACTAGCAACATTATGAGAACTAAACGGAAACTAACGACTAACTCGAACTACGTAAAAATTTGATGTTAGCAATGCAATGTAAGAATAAATACGTATCATAAAACTTAAGTCGAATTTTTCGTTTAACCATGACTAAAATTCGAAAAATATACTTAGAAGTTGTGGCTTTCTGGGTCGATAACTTATTTACTAGAAATTTTTAGCATTTCCCTTGAAATTGTAGTTATCGTATATAGGTATAAGAATAAATCTTGCTTAAGTATTTGCAAGTTTGATTGGTTAGGGGGTTGATAGTGCATTATTATCTGTATTTTCAGCCCTTTGCTGTAGAAAAAAATGTTTAATATAGAAATGCTATAATATATAAAATGATGGAAATCAATGAAATTGTACATTACTTTCATACTAAATCAACAGATTGTATATTATTGAATTAGGTGATACCTTTTACACCAACCATAGTAGAGTTTGTAATTGATTTTCATCAGTAGCCACCAAACTGAACTTGCTTTTATTCCTTTTTCAATGTAATAATCTTTCTTTAATAAATATTTATAAAATTTGACTATAAGTGAATTTAATAATTTGATTTAGGTGCTACAGGGGTACAAGTTGAAGAATTGTGGGCCATAGATGATGGCATTTTTGAAAATTTACGGTAAACTTTGTTTTTATATTGTTATTAATTAAACTACTCATTTGATCAATTATAAGTGATTGCAATTTGTTTCAGACCTGTTCATGGCCTAATATTTTTATTCAAGTACATGCAAGATGACGAACCTCCAGAACCAGTAGTGTGTGATGATCGCCTTGATAAAATTTATTTCGCTAAACAGGTATTACTAGTACTATATCGATTGAATAAAATAAATATAAAATGAAGTACATCCTACAAAATGACATATTGTCTTTGTATTATTTGAAAAACTGCACTATATTTGGCATGTGGATCTCCAATTTGTAATAGATTTTTATTAAGCAATCCCTGATTCTAAATCTTATAACTTTTACAAATATTTACTTACAGGTTATTAATAATGCATGTGCCACCCAAGCTGTTATTAGTCTTTTATTGAATTGCAACCATCCAGATGTAGATCTCGGCCCTGAACTGAGCAAATTAAAAGAGTTCAGTATGTCTTTTGATCCAAAAATGAGAGGACTTACTCTTAGTAACTCTCAAACAATCCGAACTGCTCATAACTCTATGGCTCAACAACCTCTTTTCGAGTTTGATCCTAAAGTGGCATCTAAAGTAAGCTATACTCTTTTTTCTTTGCATATTAGTATAATTGACGATGTTATACAAAATGACTGCTATAATTTAATATTTGCAGGACGATGATGCATATCATTTTATTGGCTATATGCCAATAGATGGTCGACTTTATGAACTCGATGGTTTACGTGACGGCCCTATTGACCATGGACCTATAGCCCTTGAACAAGATTGGCTTGATGTCGTGCGGCCTATTATAATGAAAAGAATCAATGTGTAAGATATTAACATATTTTTTGGTGACTATTTCAATAAGAAAATAATGAAATGCCGTAATAAATTTTCGAAGACACCATTATTGCATTATTTTTAGAATTAAAATAATGCCATGCGATGTTGTTAAACTGTTCCAGTTATTCTATCACGGTCAACAGCAACCTGGGGAGGTCATCTTACACAACCAATACATTCTCCTCAAGACACGGCCCCCAGTACCCGGCGGCCCTGCTATTCCTGGTTACGGTGGCGACTATGGTAACGGCGGGGTGGGGGGTGCTAAGAATCTCCGGTGGAGGTTCGGTTGCCACCTAAGACGACTCGACCTGGCAACATACAACGCACGCATCCTGAGGACTGACGAGAAGATCGTGGAGCTGGAAGGAGAGATGGACAAGTTACGCTGGCATATTATAGGATTATCCGAGGTCCGAAGAGAGGGGGAGGACACGGTAATCCTCGAATCCGGCAACTTGCTCTATCACCGGGAGGGCGACCATCTGTCCCAAGGAGGTGTCGGATTTATCGTCCACAAGTCTCTCGTTAACAACGTTGTAAAGATCGGGAGTGTGTCGACGAGGGTTGCGTACCTTATACTCAGAATCACCAAACGGTATTCGCTGAAGGTCATACAGGTTTACGCACCAACCTCGGCACACCCCGATGAGGAGGGGGAAGAAATGTATGAGGATATCTCTAAAGCCATGCATTCCTCCAAAACCCACTATACGGTGTTAATGGGAGACTTCAATGCAAAACTAGGCACAAGAGAGAACGGTGAGCTGAAAGTAGGGAAATTTGGAATAGGGCAACGGAACCCAAGGGGCCAGCAGCTGGCCGACTTCATGGAGAAAGAGGGACTCTTTATGATGAACTCTTTGAGATTGAGAGGTTTTATAGGCAACTGTACACGTCATCGTTGGAGCCACACGCGAGTGTGAGTAACGATCCAAGAGCGAGTCTTATCCGACACTATTCCGAAGATATCCCGGACGTCTGTCTGAGCGAGATTAGAAAGGCTCTCCAGCACCTTAAAAACGGCAAGTCCCCGGGCGAGGATGGAATTACAGCGGAGCTTTTGAAAGCGGGTGGAAAACCGGTACTTGAAGTCCTTAAGAAGCTCTTTAATTCCGTCCTCCATGGTGGCACTACTCCGGAGGCGTGGAGCAGAAGTGCGGTGGTCTTGTTCTTCAAGAAAGGTGACAACGCTCTCTTGAAGAACTACAGATCGATTTCTCTTCTGAGCCGCGTCTACGTGCTGTTTTCGAGTCATTACGAATCGACTCGCACGCAGACTTGACGACTTCCAGCCTCCCGAACAAGCCGGTTTCCGAAAAGGCTTTAGTACCGTAGACCACATACACACCCTTCGGCAAATATAGAGGAATATAATCTGCCACTTTGCCTTGCGTATGTGGACTATGAGAAAGCCTTTGATTCCGTCGAAATTTGGGCGGTGCTGCAGTCCCTTCAGCGGTGCCAAGTTGACTGTCTGTATATCGAAGTGCTGAAGTGTTTGTACAGTAGAGCTACGATGGCTACCCGAGTATAGAATCAGAGTACGAAACCTATCCAACTGCAGAGAGGTGTAAGACAGGGTGACGTTATATCCCCGAAACTGTTCACTGCTGCATTGGAAGACGTTTTCAAGCTGCTGGACTGGAAAGGATGCGGTATTAACATCAATGGCGAGTACATCACTCACCTTCGATTTGCCGATGATTTAGATCGCCTTATGGCAGAATCGCTGGAGGACCTAAGCACTATGCTCAATGACCTCAATAGTGTCTCCCGACGGATAGGTCTTAAGGTAAACATGGACAAAAAAAAGTCATGTTTAACGTCCATGTCACACCTATGCCGGTAGTTGTTGGGAGCACTAAGCTATATACCTGGGACAAATAGTCCGACTAGGTAAGTCCAACTTCTACCGAGAGTTCAATCGACGGATTCCACTCGGCTGGGCAGCGTTCGGGAAACTACGACACAACTTCTCGTTAGACATACCTCAAAACCTTAAAACGAAATTGTACAACCAGTGCGTGTTGCCAGTGATGACTTATGGATCTGAGACGTGGTCCTTCACTGCTGGACGTATGAGGAATTTCAAGGTCACTCACCGAGCTATGGAGAGGGCTATGCTCGGGGTTTCTCTGCGTGATAAACTTAGAAATGAGGATGTCCACAGTAGAACCAGAGTAACCGACAGGATTAGTAAGCTGAAGTGGCAGTGGGCCGGCCATATAGCTCGAAGAACCGATAACCGATGGGGAAGAAAGGTTCCTTAGTGGCAGCCTCGTACCGGTAGGCGAAGTGTAGGGTGACCCCCCACGAGATGGAGTGACGACCTGGTAAGACATGCAGGAAGTCGATGGATGCAGGTGGCTCAGGACCGTGCTTTGTGGCATTCCTTGGGCGCGGCAGTGGACTTATGAACATGTTCAGCAGTGGACTTATGAAAGGCTGTAATAATGATGATAATGAAGACATGGGTCTCTCTCATTGAAGGAGGAAGTAACTGTAATTGTGTCGATTATTGGCATGTAGAGTTAGATTGACGATCGTAGTAGCCCATATTTCACACCTCATAAGCTGCTCTCCGTCACCGGTCTCGGGTTTATTTATAGAAGATGATACAGCCCGGATTACGTATATTTTAACTTTATAGATATGCATATCATTTTTAATTATATACAATGCATCTGAAAAGGAAGTTTATATTTGATGTACGAGGACGACACTGAAAGTTTTTAGAACTGGTCACTTGTAAACGATATAATAAAAAAATAAGTTCAAATTTTGAAAATAGAACGCTTTGCCAATATAATAATAATAATAATCGTTTATTTGCAATCACAATGGCACATTATTGTGTATGTATTTCATTATACTCAACCAAATCTAAGAAATACGTTTACACGTTTCACATTAATCATTCCGCAATAACTTTGTACAAGCGTACTCACAAGATTTAAAATAACCTTTTACGTAAATCCAAAAAATTATGTAGTAATCTATGTTTCATTACAACATATATAGTTTTTTATCACTAATTCAAGTTCGAATCTTTCAGAAAAAGCAAAATATAAAAACAGTAACCAGAGTCAACTTTTTTGCCTGACGTTGTTTCAATGATATATCGTTATGTACCTTATAGTAGTGTTTGAATGATTAAAATTTATTTTTTGCGCATTTATTTGAACATTGATTCAAAGTTCCGTGCCACATAGCTTCTAACAAGTGTTCAAAAGTTTAAAGCTGTATCTGGCGCCGGCTTGTGGTATGGCGGGTGGAAAATCCCCAAGGCATAAATCATATATGTTGAGCACCTGTAGTAATTTTTTACGATTGAACTTTGCGCAAGTGTGGCAGACTACGTAAACATTTGAACACTGTCGACTTTGAACGCTTTGACATGCGAAAAAAAACCGAAACCGTTGGCAAAGTGCATTTCTTTGCGCACTTATCTGAACATTGATTCAAAGTCCCGTGCCACACATACTTTAAAACAAGTGTTCAAAAGTTTAAAGCTGTGTCTGGCGCTGGCTTGAGGAGGTAGCGGCAGTGGTATAGCGAGTAGGAAATCCCCTGGGCATGAATCATATGTATACATTTTCCAAGGCGTGGGCTATGACTAGTTTCTGCCTCACTTTTCACAATTCACATCAATCACGAGTTAAAAGGGTTTCGTCAATTGTTTGTTATTGGTTGAACCGGTACATTAAAAAACAGAAGAATTAATCATCAATACTTTTAAGTGTATCAGTACAAACGAACGAATCATTCACGATTGACAAATGTCTAAAGCGTCTCCCACACAGAAGCGGCTTGCGGTGGCGGCCGCGGCGGCGGTCAGTTGTTTTCGCTTGCAATTTAAGTGAGTGCAAACCCGTGCGGCCATTGCCGATCTGCAAGCGACTGGCCGCGTCCGCATGCTCCGCCCCTTCCGCCAATGTGTGTGTTAACGAGCACGCGGCCAGTCGGTGGCCGCAGCGCGATCCTTTGCAAATTTTTACAACGGGCCGCGTGTGCCGTGTGAAAAATGGTGCTAAAGATTTGTTCAGAGATTGTAATAGAAAAAGAGCAAAATTATCGAGTACTTTATCATAATTCGCATCGTGATTACAAAAGCATTAGGACTAAAATCAAAATATATGATAATATTGCTGAATATAACAAGACTTCATCACGGTTAGCCATGTTTACTGACGTCACAGCACAGATACCACGGAGAATGGCGCTTCAAGCCGCCGTTGCGACCGCGGTGGTGTGTTGTTGCAGCGGCTGGAGGCACGGCTCGCGGTTAGCCGCCACCGCAAGCCGCTTGTGTGCAGGAGACGCTTAATGTCTTAACTGTCTAGAATACAATAACATAGTTGAAAGTAGGCGTGGGTTATTACGAAATTTTCTCGTAACGAAATGTAACTAGTGACATCGGAGGCGTCATCTGTTTCCATAACTAGTGATTTTAGTAACTAGTTACTTTTCAAAAGTTACAAGGAAAGTGATTCTATTCTACTAATCTTACAGTTACTATGAATATGAAACAACGAGTCATTACTCAGTACATTACTTTGCACAAGCTTTAATTTTTTGGAACAAATAATTTTTGTTGCTATGCTGTTACATTAATTATAATCTTATTGAAGGTTATACTAACTTTTGCAAATAAACTTCCCTTCATACTTCATTCAGACTTAGGACTGACTGCATTTTGTTTAAATATAATTATTGACTTTATAATTTGCATAGAAAATTATAAAATAAAGTTAGGCAGACGTATTTAGAAGTTTATTTGATTGTATATACAATGATTTATATACATAGTAGGAGCTAAAATTTTTGCAGTACCTAATTTGCTAATTTTTTTGCATTACTAGTTCGGTACACTATCCGGCCGGTAGACACGAACGTAGCGAGCGCGAACGCGAATGAAACAATTCATACACTTTAACTACTTACGAAAATCACTAACGTTCGTCTCGAAACTAGCTAATAGGCTATATGCCCTATAGCCAGTTATTGTAAATACTGACGTGAAATAACGCCCACGCCTAGTGGAAAGAGTATAGTGAAAATTATTATGCCACTATCTGTCAGATAACGTGAGATTGTTAATTTTTTTCTTCTTCTTCACGGTAAATAGAACTTATAAACTATATAAACTTATAACGCACTACACATAACTGTGAAATTACTTAAAATTGAAATTCCTTGAAATGAAATATAAAACAAGGCTTATGAGTAGATCTCTCCAACACTTTTTTCAGCTTTTCTTTAATCGACATCAATTTCGTATTTTCATTTCTCTAGCAAATTATATTAAAGGTGCGATTTAGAATGGATGCTATATTAAATACTAGTCTTGTTGTAGTATACCTAAAAAAATTGTTTATTTTTAGGTATACTGAAGGCGAAATCCATTTTAATTTAATGGCTTTGGTATCAGACAGAAAAATGATTTATGAACGTCAGTTACACGAGGTCCAAATGTTGACTATGGAGACTGATGACATGGAAAATGAAATCCAAAGGCTCAGAATGTTGATTGAATATGAAGATGTAAAAATGGCCAGATACCAACAAGAGATGATACGTAGGCGACATAATTATTTGCCGTTTATAATAATGCTTTTGAAAATATTAGCTGAGGAAAAAAAGCTGATGCCGCTACTGGAGAAGGCTAAGGAGCGCGCTTCGAAGAAGGGTACGAAGAAAATGAAAGTATAACACGAACAGTGGGGAGGCACGCGGGTAGAGCGCAGTCGCTCTTCCCGTCGTGTCTCCCAATCCAGCCCTTCCAAAGTGTTGCCTGTGGCTGAGAATATGAAATATACATTGTCTGATTTAAATGTAATTTATTGTGAACCTGATGATTTTGTGCAACAAACTATAGAGCCACAGTTGCCAGCTACAAGCACCGAAGGTATCGTTGATGATAATTTTAGCAGTGTTATGGATACAGATGACGCTTTTAAATATGGTTTTTACCCCGATAGTATACTGGACGATAACATTGTTGATGATCATGATTTTCTTGCTAATAATTTGTTGACAATGAATGATTATATGTTACAAGATTACATAGAGAATAAGGAGGTCACTGATAATAATGAAATGTTAACCGAAAAACCTGATAGTAGTTCCGAACAGCGAGAGTAAAATATGTTTCTGATAAATAAACTGTCTTAAGTTGATTATGTAAATATTTGGATATTTCTGCTTTGTGTTCTGAAAAATTGATGTGAGTTTTTGTTATAAATATTATGCCATAATCCTCTCAAATATTTAACGAGAAATTGTTATAAATCAAAATTTAAAAATAGTGATACACCTTAAATCTAAGGTAATATAGGATAAATAAAATACAGATATAAAACGTAGCTTCATAATTATTACAGTATATGTATTTTGCATAACCTGTATACGTGTTTTGTCAAGCAATTATTCAAAATCGGCATGTTTTAAATTTGTAATTTGTTGAACTAAAAATGTTCTGAGTAATTGCTTGAAAATATATTGTACAAATTTTTGACATATAAATACTGGCAGTATAAAATAATTAAACACATTTAAAATATGTAGCTATGTGTGCATTTTCAACTTGTCTTAGCTTGTTTAACCATATATGTAATTTACTGAATTGTCACTTATAATTATAAATATTGCATAATTTTTAGAATGTAGTCTGCCAGGTACTTGTCAGGTACTTTATATAATATCTTATTAGCTCTGTGGTAAGCATTAGTTATAAGAATAGAATTTCATACTATACATGTACACGTATATAGTTAGTTTAGTAAAGTACGTATGTCGCAATTGTAGCGAATTATATACATACTTTTTTAATTTATATATAATAAATAGTAGCCTCCGTCAATTTGGACGAAAGAGTTTATGTAACAGTAGCTTAAATGTTACTACATTTGCACCTCATCAATCAATCTAAAGGTAGACATAATTATTTACACCTTATTACAATTTAAACTTATAATTATAGTCGTAAACCTAATTAACGAAAAATTTTCATGTGTAAAGATATGAATAATAAATTAATGAATTTAGGGTGTTGTGGCATATGGACAAAGTAGCAGAATACAGTTATTTACAATTAAAGATATAATAATATTGACACAAGTAGGGAACGAAGACAATGTATTTAGAATGTCATGAGGAGTGGTGGATGGATTCATTATTTACAGGACGGCTTTGTGAGTAGTCTTAAAACATTTTGAGTGATTAATTGCCTGCAATGTTCTTAGTCATTACATGGATTCGTGTATTCTTATTCTGCCTGTGGCTTTGTAGTGAAATATGTCATTAAATGTTCTTTAAATTTTTGTTATTTTTTGCTTCAAGTTAAATGTGCAGTATTTTCGTTTTTTTTTTAAATAATACTATACAGGGTTATTTTGCAATAACCGGCCAAATTTGCAGAGAAGGTTCAGAAGTTCAGAGAATAAGTAATATAAGCAAACGATTAATAAAAAAAAATTCATACATTCTGTCCGTTTTATCTTTTAAATTCAAAATGCGTGGGTAATGCATTATTTTAACTGATTTTATTGCTCACGCACACATTCGTAAGGGTCGATTGGTAGGCAAAAACATTGTTGGCCATAAATCACATTCAATTTGTTGATTGATTCAAATAAAAGTAGAAGTCTTATTTACTCGTATTTTCCAAAACTGCAATGACGGTATATCGGTATTTATATATTTTAATTTAAGTTTAAAATGTGGCTACTCTTTGAAAAATAACCCTGTATTGTATATGTTATATAATAATACTATAAGCGGGGTGCGGCGGCAAGGGTTATTTAAAACAAATGTGTTTCTGTACTAACGTCAAACGTGAGCGAAAGTGTTTAAACAGATGGAGATTACAAAAAAATCAACACATAATAAATAATACATTTTAGAATCTTACTGTGCAAACATTATCTGTGATATTCACAGATAAGAGTATTGATTGTATGAAACAGTAATCAACCTGAAATAATAAATAGTTTACGATTCCACATAATGATTGAACAGAGTCTGAGTAATTAAAATAGACGCCGTACGTAACAGGTCGCTTCACGTATTCGGTTGAAGTCCTCTGGGCTTGATCATCATGGAGGCCCGTTTTAGCGTGTAGTCCCAACCTCGCCAGCGGAACCACACGATACCTGTAATTTATTTTAAATTTATAACTTAATTTATCTATTTTGTGTAATATTTCTAATATGTATACAGCGTTTTTCCGCTCAACCACCCCAAAATTTGGCAAAATAGGTCCGCCATTTTAATTGTAAAGCATTAGTTTGACAGTTTAGTCCAACATTCGAATGTTTGGAGAATTTAAATTGTTGTTTGATATAGAAGTCTGTGATGAGCACCATTATTTTATGCTTAATGTCGATTCAAAGACAAATCGCCATACCTGAGATGGCGGCATCAAAGTCGATAACGGTATTTTGAAATAGTTTTTCCTATGGAAATTGAATGGAAATAGTGTGATGGTGTCTTATTTTTTTGTAGTCGAATAACCATCTTATTTAAATACTATAAATCTAATTTAACTTGAAATGCAAAATCTACCAAGTTTTAAGACACTACTGAAAGTAGCAAATTTAATTTATTAATGATTGTGTAACGACACAATTATTATATATACCTTGTCGGGCGGTTAGATCTTGCGGGTCATGGAGATAGAGGCCATTGAGGCCGCGTCCACACGATTTCCACCACCAGCCGCCCTTAAGCATCGATGCGCAATTCAAGGATGATCTGTCGTTGTCTCTGTAATTCAATATCAATATTATTAAACGGGATGAAAGATATGACGAACTTTTTTTAAAAATTAATAAATTAATTTCATGAGTCCGAAACTCATATTCCGATTAGAGCCAATTTTTGTTAGTATTAATGGCTAGTTTATAAATTTCTAGACTAATTATTGTCCTCTTGCTACTGAAATTCTAGTTGTTCCCATATCTATGATATAAGCAGGGACTTGAAACGTTACTCAAAATAACGTTACGCGTAGTTCCAATAACGATAATTCGTACCGTTCCACTAGGATCGTAACAAAATTAATCCCTTGGCTATAACAATACTAACAAACGAAACAGATTCTACTGTTATTTAATAACAATATTAAAAATATTTCGTTATTCATATGATATAACGATATAATATCGTTATTATTCTGTCAAAGATTGTGACACATACTTTCAATATTTTATATAATATGCGATGCGCACTCTATCTACAACGAACGTAAAAAATTGAAACCTAACGAAAAATATTGTTCTACGAAAATGATACTATAACGTTATTTTTTATAACGTTATTAATAATTTTAGGTTTTAGTATCGTTACAAACTTTGGAACGTTATGGGATAACATTTAGTGTAACGAAACGAAATTCATTTCGTTTTCAAGTCCCTGGATATAAGTTGATTGTAACGAGTGATGTTCGTATTCGTATGTACTTTTTTATAGAATAAGGGTGACAAAACCAGCATACAGTCCAACTGGTGGTAAATGGATACTTTGGCCCATGGACACGATTAAGATGGAATGGTCCAAAAGGCCTAAAAGGGGTATCTGGTTCTCTACAGTCTCCATACGAAACAGCAGTATTAAGCTGCTATTTTACGCTAGTATTGTGTTAGAGCGTGGTGCTTTCCCGATCGAATCGACCCATTCTTGCTACAACCATAATATAGCTGCAGCTAGCACTACAATGTTCGCATTCTTGTTCAGTTTATGTAGGTAGATAAATAACGTAGTTTAACATTATTGCAGTAAATAAACATATTTTATCCTTATAGTAGAGGCGACTGTAGGAGATCGACCTTCACCCTTCTGATAACCAGATGAGACCAATATTTTTTAATGAAATTTTATTGATTTATAAGCACGCCTATGATCGCGAATTTTAATGAATTTTTTCTTATAATCTTCACTTGATAACCGAACAAATTTAGGCTTGCCTACTTATTCCTGATGGCTACCTTGCAAGCAGGTATGAACAGGTAAGTCAATACAGGTAACTATACCGATTTGTTGACCAATAGAAATTGGTATCAGAAGAAAGATAATTTAATGACAAATAATCGTATAGCAAAAAAACCGTTTTGGACTATTATTGTCATGCTTTTAAGTTTTGAAATCGGAGCTATTAAATATGTGCATGAGAGAAAGTAAAGCGTCCGAAGTCCGTGTGATAGAACAGGACACAACATAGCAGCTAATAAAACAAAAAAATATTTTTAACTATTCAAAACTGTTGTTACTCCTATCAAGAGCAGAAAATCGAATGATAAAATAAAGAAATTGAATTTATATGTGATCATTTTCATGCATCTAAAGTAACACCGGGACGAAAGATTCATAAAATCTTCCGATACCGATGTCCTGATAATTATACTTTTTGTAACCTGGGTAGTTGTGGGTGTTAGTAAGTATAGTAAAGAAATAATAATATTCTATACGTTTATGATATCAAAAGCGCTTATTACAAAGCAAATGGATTACATAGAAAAATAATATTATAAAATTCATAATCATTATTCAAAATCTGAATCATCTGAAGCTACATTAAGGTCTTGTCTTGCCTGATATTCTTCTTCATTTACATTTTCCGTCATTTGCATGATGTTATCTATCTTCAAAGATGTTTGGTCCCCAACAAATCTAATGAGGGCTAATAATATTCCGATCACCAGATGTCGCTAGTT